CTTCACAGGGGAGAGTATATTTATACAAAAAAATAAAAAATATATATGGTGTTTTGGATACTTGCACAAGATATTGGCAATATTGACGTCTTCTTTTTTTTTTGGGGGGGGGGTATCTTCACAGGGGAGAGCTCCAAACACCTCCACCTTAATTCAATCAAAACAAAAACACAACAATACCCACGTGGACTATACCTAATATAGGACAACTTACATGCCGTCCTCACGACACTAATTATGCCTCCCCTCTGCACAAAACTGCCGCTCACCGACGTCCAGTACCCCACACAGCCCATTGCCACTCCGAGCAACGACTTAAATTTAAAAAAAAAAAAAAAACCTGCTGCTCCATCAATATGACCAGGTGGCACGCACCAGCTATGCCCCTCGCCCTTCTCCTTCCTCCCATTCTCCTCCTGCTCCCAGGGACCCACCTCTCTCTCTCTCTCTCTCTCTCTCTCTCTCTCTCTCTCTCTCTCTCTCTCTCTCTCTCTCTCTCTCTCTCCTGAGCGTAGTGTGGCGCTCCGAAGCCGGCTGATGGGAGAAAGAAGAAGAAAAAAAAATTGGCGGCTGATGTTCTCCCTAAAGGACTACCCGTCTTGGCCCGAACACAACGCACCCTCATCATGACTGTATCTGACTGGAAACACAGCTTGTATACATTCACAATGAAGGTACGTTGTTGTGTTCTTCCCCCGAACACAACGCACCCTCATCATGAATGTATCTGACTGGAAACACAGCTCGTCCCCCGAACACGACGCCCCCTCTCATGAGGGTATCTGACCGGAAACACGGCTTGTATACATTCATAATGACGGTACGTTGTGTTCGTCCCCCGAACACAACGCACCCTCATCATGACTGTATATAACCGGAAATCTAGCTTGCATACATTCATCATGAGGGTGAGTTGTGTTCGGGGGAAAAGGGGTAGTCCAGCTTTCCATCTCTTCTGGACAGCCACCCCTACAACGTTAGAGCTACCGTCTTCCCCGAACACAACGCACCCTCATTTTGGCTGTATCTGGCCGGAAATATAACTCGGATACATTCATTTTAAGGGTGCGTTATGTTCGGGGGAAGACGGTAGCTATCGCTGCCTCTGCTTGTCTAAGCAGTACCCCGCAGAACTTTCCATTTTTATATTTCTATTTTCATTTTCATTTTTTTCCATACCCCGCCGAATTGCCGCTGAGCTGTTTTTTTTTTTAATTACTTTTTTTTTTTTTAAGTACACTATACTTTTCCTTCAACCTGTCCGGTCCTTTTTTTTTTTTTTTTTACTAATAATAACCTGGCCTGTCATAATATTTTTGCTGCTTAGGCCAAAGTGTACGGCTTACCGGCGGCAATCTGGTCGCACCGTGCGTCCACGTTCAGATCTCCGCTGCGTCTCCCGTCCCTCCAGATTCGCTCTCTCCTCTCTCCCTCTGCCAATCCTCCCTTCACCATCCGTTCAATATGCCCTTGGAGCCCCATCCTGTTCCTCCTCTTTTTTTTTCTTTTTTCTTTTTTTTGCGACCTCCATTCTGATCCGCTTGCTTGCTCGTCATTGTACAGCAGTGAAGTAATTTTATTTTTTTTGGGGGGGGGGCGGGTGGGGAGAAACCGAAGAAGCACGCCATTGTTTCGTTCGTCTGAAATCGAAGAAAAAACATGGGCACCTTCACCACACGCCAAAATGAAATTCTCTATATAAACATCTGCGCAAAATGAAGGTCAAACTCCTCATCGATGGTCAACGCCTCCTTGCTCATTCTTGTGTCTCCATCTGTTTCTTCATCATAATTGCATCCATATGCAGTTTTTCTCCCCGACGACAACACAAATCTCACTGGGCCTGTGCTTGCCCCCATCCTCCTCGTCATATCCTCTTCTTCTGTGATGATCGATCGCCCAACCTGCAAGGTCTTCCCATCATCTTTATCCTTATCGTTATCCTTATCGTCTGAAGATAATAACCCCCTGAAAGAGAACTTGGCTTCTTCTTGTTGCACCCCCCCCATCTTAATGGCAGACCCGAGAGCTCTCGAATCCCTCCGCCTTTTCTCATCCTTTGGGAGAGGGGTAGCCCCATCTCCAATCAGACCCCCATGCCCATCTCTATTCCCCTGCAGTTCACGACCGGTCGTAGTAGTGGTGGTGGTGGTGGCGGTGCTGTCAGCGGACTCAGAACGACCCCGCTTCACATTACTCGGTCGCAAATAGATCTTCCTTGCATCTTCAGCTTCATCGTGATCGTTCATCCGCCGACCTGCCTGCAAGCCCTGACCGCCACCACCACCACCTCCCCGATCCCGATGCCGATGCCGATCCTCTCTCGCATCTTCTCTCGCCGATCCCGTTGCACCGGTGTTTTTTCTTCTTCGCTCCTCAACACTCTCGTCTTCATCTGTGGCAACTGCAGGACCGGTCGTGGACGCCTGCACTCCGCGACCGGTCGTAGACTCTTGTATTGCAGGACCGGTCGTAGACGCCTGCACTCCGCGACCGGTCGTCGACACTTGTCTTGCTGGACCGGTCGTGAACGCTTGGACTCCACGACCGGTCGTAGATGATTGCACTGCACGACCGGTCGTGGACGCTTGGACTCCACGACCGGTCGTAGACGATTGCACTCCGCAACCGGTCGTAGACGCTTGGACTCCACGACCGGTCGGAGATGCTTGCACTCCAGGACCGGTCGTAGATGCTTGCGCGTCAGGACCGGTCGTAGACGCTTGCGTTGCAGGATCGCTCGTCGACGCTTGGACTATTCCAGGACCGGTCGTAGAAGCCTGCGTTGCACGATCGCTCGTGGACGCTTGTACTCCAGGACCGGTCGTCGTCGTCGTGGATGCTCGCACTTCTTTCTTCCAATGCACGTGACCGTCTTTCTCTCCTCTGTTACACGGCGAGAGCTTCGACCCCGCCGCCTCCTGTCCGGAATTACCAATTTGCCCTCTTCTGTTTGCCAGCAATCCCTCCCCTCTCCCTCTCCCTTCTCCACCAGTCTCATCATCATCATCATCATCAGATTGACCACCTCCCTTCTCCCCTCTCCTCCTCCATACCTGCACATCGTCATGGTCGGCAACCCCTCCTCCCCCCTCCCTGTGCTCTCTGCGCTCAACTCCCTGCGCACTTCCCATGGCCCCGCTATTATTATCATCCGACCCCGCTCCCGACGACCCCTCCTCCCCTCTCCTCCTCCTTCCCTCACAGACTAAACCACCACCATCTCCCAATTCTCCCAATTCTCCCTCTCCCCCGCCCTCCTCATCCGAAAGCCTCCGCGGCGGCGCTCGCAAGTCGCCGTCCGGGACTGACACAGTCGTTGTCATGGGTGCTGTTTTTTTCCCATAGCCATTATTCGAATTGTTGTTGACGTCTTCCGCTGACGAACAACTCTCTGCTTTTTTCCAATTTGCCCCCGAGGAATGACTTGCTGATTTCCAATTTGCCCCCCCCGCTGACGAAGAGCTTCCTACTTTTTCGAAATTCGCGCCGCCGGACGAAAAGCTCTCTGCATTTTCGAAATTTGCCCCTCGCACCTCACTCTCACTCACACTTAAGGACTCCATTCTACATTTTTTTGGAAATTTGGCACCCCTTGCCCTCTGCCCTGTGGAGATGCCGCAACGACCGGTCGCAGGGGGTGGAGGTGGAGACCCGCCCTCTTCCGCACAGAACCGCTTCATTTGGCCACAACTGATATCATCATCATCCTCGTCATCAGGACGCTGATCCGCATCCCGATCAGGAGTGCCGGCGGCGGCCATACCGCCAGACTTCCGTTTTCGCGAGCCGATTACGGCAGCGGCAAAAGGAGGCTGATCCCGATCCCGATCTTGACAGATGAAATCATCTTCATCTTTATCATCATCATCATCACCATCACCAGCCTTCTTCTTGCGGACCAACTTTTGCAGCAGAGCGTCGACGTCCATAGCCGAAGCTCGACCGAGGCGCACACGCGGAGATCGAAGATCATCAGGCCCACGGTCGCGACACATCTTGCCCGCCTGAAGAGACTCAAGAAGACGAAAGCAGGGCTCTCTCTGCAATGCCTCTCTCTCTCTCTCTCTCTCTCTCTCTCTCTCTCTCTCTCTGTGCCAGCGCTGATATTGTTTTGATAAGAGTGTGTTTGCGGACGGGTGGGACTCGATCCCCGTGTCCGCAAGACCGTGCTTACAATCAATCAATTAATCAATTAATTAATCAATTAATTAATTAATTAATTAGTCTCCAGTAAGATAAGCAACAGAAGAGAGACGAGGGATCGAGCCTCCATGCCGCCGCCGGCGGCAATATCCACAGCTGTCTCTACTAGTCCATCCAACGTTTCACATCTCTCGCATATCTGACGCTCAGGTTGGTTCCCTATAGACGTGGGGGACTCCCTCCGCGCTGATGCCTGTCCGTCCTTATAATCAATCAATCCAGTAATCAATCAATCAATCATTCAATATCCAGTAAGATTAGCAATCGAAGAGAGACGAGGGATCGAGCCTCCGTGCCGCCGCCGGCAATATCCACAAGCTCAGGTTCTGTATCCTTGGGGGATCGAGCCTCCATGCCGCGTCGACTCGGCGGGCAATGCACCACCGCTATTTCCGCCCATCAATTAATTAACCCTGTGCACGTGACACGAGCAGTCAATTAAAATTCTTCTCTCTTGGCTTCGACTCGGCGCGCAATGCACCACACCCCCCCCTCCCTCTCTTCTTCTTCTTCTTCCTCTCCTCTTTTTTCCTCTCCTCTTATCACCGTTCTGCAACCAACATTTTTCTCCCACATTTTCCACCCACCTTTCTCCGATCCTTCCTCCCTCCCTCACTTCATGGGAGACTCCCGGCATGACCACCCACCCTCTCTCTCTCTCTCTCTCTCCTCAGGGATCATTACAAAGTATGAATCTTCGACTATTTCGTTGACGTCCAGTTTCATTCCACTATCTTGCTCAAGCACACCAAGTCTAACAGGTGTTTTTATTTATTTATTTATGTATTTATGCATTTATGTATTTATGTATTTATGTATTTATTTATTTATTTATATGATATCAGGAATATATGTCATTGTTTTTTTTTTTATGGCATTTGAAGGCAATAGGAGCACACAGGGTTTACTGTGCGACACACTATTTATTTTATTCGGTATTCATATTTTCCGGATTTTTCTTCTTTTTTTTTCTGTTCTTTTACCTTCTTCTTCTTCTTCTTTTGAGGAGAAATGTCTTTTTTTTCTCATTTATTGTCAGTTCCAAGGTTCAGCCCCCAGCGAGCCTAAGTAGTTCTTTCTCTGAAGGAGATACACAATATAATATATCATCACATTGATATGAGAGCAAGCGAAAAGAAAAAAGAATGAATTCGTTTTTTTTAAATCTTCTTCCTTACAACTCCTCCTGTTCAGAACCTCCTCTTGCGCGTACAAGGCCGCCCCGCCCACGTGGATGTAGGTTGAGCGGCGGCTGCCCCCAACCCCGTGTGTCAGTCATATCGACCCACTTGAACACAGCCAAGAGGCAAAGAGCCAAAAAAAGAGGAAGGGAACAGCCAAATATAACAAAACAGTGGGAAACAAACATAAACAGATCCTAGATGACAAGTCCTACAGGATCTTTTTTTTTTTTTTACCATCCAGGACATTAAAACAAAAACTTGCCTGCAAACAAACAATCCCAGATAACAAACCCCATTCGTACTCACCACCGACTCTATAAAAACTATAATATATAATAATATCATATTAATATGTATATACAATTATATCATATAATCATATATATCGTCACAAACAGAACTGCCCGGTAAACCGTAGGCAGAGAGAGAGAAGAGGACAACAAACGAGGGGCTATAAACTCCGACGAAACAGTTTGTCACAGCCCCTCGTTTGTTGTCCTCTTCTCTCTCTCTGCCTACGGTTTACCGGGCAGTTCTGTTTGTGACGATATATTGTCACACTGTGAACATATATTGTCACACTGACAATCGGAGCGCCAAGCAATACAGAGGAGGGCAATGATAGCACCGATACGAGTTCAACAGTCCAAATTTAATCAGAAGTAAGACTAACGGAACCACAACAGAGGGCCCGCAATATACAAAAGCCATTCCACATCGGGGAGAAATGGCTAGCAACGACTGAGGAAAAGGAGGAGAAGAAGAGGAAGAGGAAGAGGAAGAGGGAGAAGCAAGAAAGAGGGAAAAGGAATGAAGGAAAAAATCTACCATAAGGTGGAGTTTTCCATCTGGTGTGGGTGAGTGATAGTCTACTTTGATTTTGGTTAAGGTAGATTATCATTTACAGTGTAATCAGTGAGGGGATTCTGCAGACTGTTGAGGGTTCAGCCTCCTGATGAGTCGGTGAGACTCCGACGAAACAGTTTGTCACAGCCCCTCGTTTGTTGTCCTCTTCTCTCTCTCTCTGCCTACGGTTTACCGGGCAGTTCTGTTTGTGACGATATATATCGTCAAACACAACTACATGTCCACCATCCATCCCCATATTGCGAGAGTCGGGGGCGCTTTTTCAGTTGAAAAACACGTGAATCTTCTTCTTAAGGCGCCATGCACAATATTTTTTTTACTTCAAGCTTACATGTTATCAGGTGTTGATTTATTTATTTTATTTTTTTGCCTACTATTTTTTTTTCCGTTTTTTTTTTTTTAATGATTTTTTTTTTTTTTTTATAAGGAGTTGTTGCTGTTCTATTATTTGTTTATAAGTGCCAGACAAATTACTACACCACCATTCAAGCCCAAACAATCTGATACTCCGCGCCGAGATCCCTACCCTAAATCCGACGACCCTGAAAAATATATAACC